TGTTTGGACGCCTGCACTTGGTTAAAACTGCACCGCTGGGCGAAAACGACAGCAAATCTCACAGATGTATAGATTCGAAAGAAAGAGAAAATCGTATTTAAGAGAGCATCCATAATTCCAGGCCAAAACGTTCCAATTGCAAGGAAGATAAGAAACCCTTAGACAAATCCTTGAAGTAGTAAAGGCTTACAAAAGATCATATTTAACAATGATGGCTATATATTTCCCTTTTTGCAATTAAAGAGTCCCTGTGTGTAATTTAATGCGTCTTTTCAAGTGTCGGCTCCCCAGAGACTTGGCCTGTAGCTACGCCATCGCTCTTGGTGATTATCATTAATGAATGTCGGAGAGGACCATCCCTCAATGTGACTGGGGAAGGAAACACAAGCCCTAATTAAAGGTTCCTATTCATAAATATATGCCTGCAACTACTCGGATCGCAGGCTCGGGCGAGACGCACACACAAGTCATTTTAATGTCACAAAAAAGCACCTTTTTAAGAGTATTTTTTTGCCTTGATGTACGGCGCTGTGGCAAAGGCGGTGACAGATTTCACAGGCAAAAGCCCACAGCGAGGCAGCCATGCAATATGAGATTCACAAGATTTAGATTTAGAGAAAAGCTGCAGATTACGATGGTGTAATTTTGCCGGGAGAATGGGGAGAAGTGTTAAACCATGCGCACTTACTGTCTTCCTGAACAATGTATGTACACTTTTACATGTAATCCACGGGAGGCCTGTTAGGAGATGGTGAAATGTCTACACGCTGGAAAAGAGACAGGAGAAAAAGCAGCACACACGTGGATGCAAATGCGAGAGTCAAAAAAGTGTTGTTTTTTTGGAGCTGAATTTTTCAACATTGAACTGTTCATTTGTCCCTTGTTACGTTAAGCAAAGGCATTTACCTGTATTATTTACACGTCCCAATGATGTTTTTTTATATTATTATTTTGTATATAATTTGTAAATGTTAAACTCGTTAATTGTGAGTCTGTGGTCAGTCAGGTATAACATACAGTCCGTGGGTAAAACGTTGTCTTTATAAACCTCATAAATAGATATAGTTAGGATATAGTTTCACAGAATGATGATGGGGCAAAATAACACACAGATTTTTTTTTTTTTAATGTTCCTTAGTTGTGACATTTCAATCAAATCCATTTTATTTGCATAGTACTTTTTTAAACGTGAATTTATACAATGAAAGTATAAAAAAAATGCTGCACATAGAAACAGTAACAATACATCCACTTATTAATCTGCCAAAAAAATCATAAAAACAAGGAGAACAAAAATGAATTGAAAACAACATAAATAGATATATACTGTAAGTACTTTATATGAATATATTCTATCCATACAATCAATAAAATAGCTTTATAAAAAATGTATCAATAAACAAAAAGACAACAGAGGACCACACAACTCGTGCAGAGAATAAATCCTTAAGAAAAGACTTAAAACACTACATGTTTTGCCTTTAGCATGTTTTCACACTTATGTCTTTTGCACAAATCTGAGTGATTCTATCCATGCCAAATTTCTCCTGTATGAGATCAATAAAGTATCTTATTTTATCTTTTTCTATGAACTATTTTCAACTTTTGCCACTTTAATAATAACTACACTTGTTTGAGCCACTGTGTCCAAGTACTTTTCAGTATGGATCTATAAAACCTGCATAAGTCTAAATCTAAAAATCATTATTAAAGTATGAACTCTTGTATATACGCAGATGTAAAAATATCCCTTAAAAACACTCTTCTGATAATAGTGTGAAAATCTACCCAAAAAGCTTGAGTTACCCTTTTCCCCCTTTTTATGACTTGTGTGTGTTTTTACAGTACCAGACAAAGATGAATTTGTTCAAACAAAACCAGAACGTCTCCCAAATAGGAGCTCATCATTTGGACTTAATCATTTTAATTGCTCTCAAATTCACGCTGACAATTGCTCTCATAATTGGGTGTGAGAAGTTAACGTTGACAATGATATCGAATCTGCCCTGACTGTTTGCTTGTTTGTGTGTTTTTTTCGACCGCGTGAGGCTCAAAAGTCTTGTCAGTAAAAGACGAGACAAACATTGGGTTCTCTCTCTCTTTTTCTCCTTAATGGCTGAAAAATGCTAATTGGAGTTGCACGTGTCAGGGAAAACAAAAGGGAAGGAGGTGGAGAGGAAGGAGCAGCATGTCAGACCAAGGTTGGTATTTGTGGAAGAAAAAAACTGTCATCTTGTTCTGCTGAGTTGGTTCGGAATTTCCGCAAGTTTCTATGCAAGGGATGAGGCGTGACTGCGTTCTGTTTGAAGAAGATACTATAATACACAGACTATACCAATATTCAAGTTGTTTTCACTGGTTCAATAAACATTAGTTACCTATATTTTTATTGGATTATTTTGCTTTGGACTTTTGTGCTTCAGTGGTGCGTGCTCTTCTCATCTTTTTTGTTAGCTTGGGTGTTAGAAATTAGTTGGTTTTTTTATTTAATTTTTTTTTCCAATTAAATCTATTACCAAGGTTGGGAGATGGAGTAGCTTTTTGTTTCATAAATAATTTTTTTTTCTGACAAAAAGTCTGAACATTTCAAGTATGTAGCATTTTGGGAACATTATGAAAAATTGTATACATATATTTTTTTTCTTTTTTTTACATATGTTAAGAGGCCAAAAAATGTGAATCCAAATGACAGACCCTTACCGTTAAGAATTAGCTGCATGGATATGATTTCAAAGTAAAATACATACCACTCGACCCATACTTATACAGTTACTATCCAGTTGTGTATTTACTGGAAGAAGAAAAAAAAAAAAAAGAGTGACCACAGCTTTCCTTACTTCTGTATTTTCCCTGATAATGCTGTTGCTCTTTACCGAGTGCTTCCAGTAAAAAAAATCCTTTGCGAGAGTGAAAACCTTGAATAAACTTGCGTCTGTCTCAGCAGTGCCGTTTCCGTTCTCGGTGACGAATTCCAAACTCAGGTGGGGATCACAAAGCTTTAATTGCATTGTCAAAACTCACGGCAACATATCGTTTTTAAAGCCTACACATTAAACAAGTCACGGCCACGCGGATCTTCATGAAAAACCCAAACCTTTTTTTCTCTCGGTGCTCCACACTTGGCATTTTAATTATGCTGCCTTATCGGATAGATGTGGAGCGATATAGCTCATGTCAAAGTTACACCCTTAGCTTTATTAATTTTGTATTATATATTCTTATTCAAGCTGTCAATGAGTGTCGGCAATCTGATAAAGCCCATCGATGATTGAAGATTATATAAGATTATGAAGTGGAGGTATTGCCTGATTTTAATGGCAAAAAGAGAATATAAAGGCGTTTCCCGGACTTTCTATACCAGCAGGTTTAGATCAAGCTTAAAAGTTGCATTCAAAAGTGAACTTGGAAAAACTTTTTTACAAACCAGCCCTGGAATCTACATGAAACTCAGAACATTTGAAAATAATTTAAAAGTCCATTTGATTGTGTTTGTTATAGTACGGATTTGTCCTTTTACTTAAAGGTGTATGGGAGAATTTTCTACTTCCGGGTGAATCATCAAAACTATTGGTCCTCCTAAGTGTCAATCATTCTGGTGATACGTGCTCGTCAAATAAGACCGGAGAGTTTTGTTCTTTCCTAAAATTTGGGAAAATCCTCCTATAGACCTTTAAGATTCGCTTATCTTGTGCTGTGTGCCACTCATTCGTACTGTGCTGTAACTGTGAGGTAACACTGGAAATTCCACGAATTCTTTGGCACGAAAAAAGGATCTCTTAATATTATTTCACTTCTTTACTTCAATTTAAAATAAGGTCCTGGGTTCGAATCCCGGTCGGACCAGGGCCTTTCTGAGTGGAGTTTACATGTGTCTGCGTAGGTTTCCTCCGGGTACTCCGGTTTCCCCTACCACTAAAAATATGTACAATAGGTCTGGCATGCGCCTCCTGTTCGGCGACCCCGCTCCCGTCTCTGTGTGGAGTGAGAGGACAAGTGCCCAAAAAAAATAAACAATAAAAATAACAATTGTAAACCGCTTTGTGACTCTGGTCTGTGAAAGGCAGTATATAAATAACGATTACTTACTTACTTAAAATGTTAAACTCATATATGACAGACTCAGAGTGAGATATAGTGAGTATTTGTTTGTTGTAATGTTGTTAATTGGCTTACAGCTCGCAACAAAAAACCTAATAATACAGAAAATGTGAATATTTTGACAATAGACTGTAAGGCATGATGATAAATGATGTGGAATGAGTCTTTATCATATTTTTGTTTCACGTTTTAAGTGGAATTACAGCAATAGATGAACGATTATCCCAAAAAAAATCATATTTTTTGGATGAGCTGGAGGAAGTGTGTGTGGATAGGGAAGTCTGGGCGTCTCTGCTTAGACTGCGACCCGGCAACGGATGAAGCGGAAGAAAAAGGATGGATGGATGGATTTCATATTGGCTACAACACCATTTTTCACCATGTGAAGCATTTTGGTATACTTATATATTAAGTAGTACATTTGTTTAGTTTTAATTTTACACTAATCATTTTTTTTGACTAATTTGAGCACTCGGGTTTACAGTGTACTTGTTTAGAAAGATGCTGCAAACAACAACTATATTGTCCAGGTTTACGCTTCTCTGAAAGAGAAATAAAAAAAATCGCATCTCTAATAAGATAAGATAAGATTTGCTTTATTTATCTCACATAGGAGAAATTTACATGTCACATTTGGCATGGATAGAGACACTCAGATTGTGCAAAGGGAGGAAATGTGCAAACATGTTACATGCAGGATATGTACAATAAAGTGACAATAATTATGTACAACAAAAGTGACAAGTGTCAATTGGAAACAGTGTCAATAGTAGTGCAGGTTTTCACACAGTGATCATTTAAAGTGACTTATTGTACAGTCTGACAGCGGTGGGGATAAAGGCCCTGCGGTAGCGCTCCTTCCTACACTGAGGGTGCCTCAGTCTTCCACTGAAGGAGCTAATTTAAGTCTGTAACAATAAACAATTGCATAAGATTGTATGTATAACTTGTCTGTACTTTTAGTGTATTATGTGTGAGATTTTCTGGCAGGACGGTCGCAGGCGTGCAGTGCGTGGAGAGCCTTGAACCTCCTGACATGAGAATTTTACGGCTCTAAACAGCTCCGACTCTGTGCCACGGGCCAAAATATGCAGCGGAGCATTAACTATGGATGAGTATTAAAAGGTAGACATTAACCGCTTGGTATCTGTCTGCACTGTTTTAGGTGAAGGCGCTTTGCCCAAAGGGGAGAAATCCAACCTAAACTTCACACAGTTGCTTCAGTTTGGAAACGGTTTAAGCCAAAAGAGAAAATGTAAAGTAAATGTGTTTGCAATTATATGTCCGTCCAACGCTCCAAACACGGGCAGAAATCTTTGCAATAAAAATACAAATACATAATAAGAATTAAGCAGTATCTTTTATTGTGCAAACATTATTCTATTAGCATGGCATGTTACATTCTAACAATCAAATACTGTCGTCCTTCTCTTTTACACACTGTTGACTTTATGACATATTCACACTTTATTGGTACATGTTTCAGATTCTATCACGGTCCATAATTAAAGCCAGAAAATACTTGTGTTGTTGAAAGTTGTTCCTCACCTTGTGCAGAACGAGGACAGTGTATCGTCCACACACGCCTCTGAAAACGGGAGACAAAGAAGTGTTGGTCAGAAATATGTGCATCATGGTGAGTATGATTATTGTTGTTAAACATGGATTCTTAGTATTGTTTTAGAAAAAAGTGTGCATAACTTTTAAGGTATATAGGAGGATTATCCCAAATGTTATAGGAAAGAACTGCCCTCTCCAATTTTTGAACAAAACTCTCTTGTCTTATTTGACGAGCAGGCATCACCAGAATGATTGACAATTAGGAGGACCAATAGTCTTGATGATCCACCCCGAAGTAGAAATCCGTCCTATATACTTTTAAGTTTTGTGAATATAGATATTGAAAGTGCAGTAGTATTTCAAATTTTAAAAGGGAGAAAATTACAAAAGTATCTTAATTCCAGTTTAAACAAACTTCCAGACACCCTGAAAAGGGAAGGACACATTCTTGTTATTTAAAGCCTTGCAAAAAAAATCTGTGTTTCACTTGTATTGTGTGATGAGCCATTTAAAATAGATGAATATTGAGGTAAATCATTGAAGATATGATGTTTAATGAGAAAGTATCCTGTTGATTTTAATTTCCCTGCGCTGAGATTCCCATCTGATGGCGCAGAGATGAGAGCGCTGCTCGGGCCGCTTGTCCCCCCCTGCTGGTGCCTCTAAGGCGGCTGCTCTGGACCTGCAGCTCCCGCACAGACACCGCTGCCGAGGTGCGCGCTTCAAACACACCGGGCTTTTCATGTTCAGAGTTATCGCGTCCTTTGAGACAACTTTGTTTTCACTTTTTTTTCCAAATATGTTCATATTTGTGCGTGGCGAGTCTAATAATGTGTATGACATCAGTGTTGCACAAAATTGTCCACATCTGATACAAAGATAAGATGTATTTTGTCAATTGTGTACATGCATATGTTGTCTATCAGAAAAGGAGGTTATTTATGAAACGTTGCTGTTTTTACGCACGCGGTGTTGGTCCATACGTGCTCCATATACGTTTTAAAGTGTGTCTTATTAAATCATTCAAGAATTGGTCCTTCGGTCATACCTCCAATCAATCTCATGTGATTACAGCCGAATTCATCATTTCTATTTTAACTTGAGTCTTCCCGGGACGCACTCTCTCTCTCATGCGCACTGACGTAAGTGCTCTCCATCAATCAGCGCGCGGCTCTGCGTGACAGACAGCGACAGACAGATGTTGGGGCGGTACTTCATTTCTTTCAGCTCGTAATAAGCGACTCCAGACGTGCTCCCCGTGTAGATAATCCGTTTTGAAGACTGCCCGTCGCCCCACTACCCAGTAGACAGACAGACAGACAGAGGCAGATCAGCTTGTGGAGGAGAGAGGTGGACTTACCGGTGCGGGTTGAGTTTCCAAAAGTTTGTTTCGTGGTTTACAGTCTCTTCTTCAATCCATTGTGTCCTGGTGGGGAGCGTATAGTCCCATCGCTTCTGTGAGACATAATTCCCAGCTTTAATCGTGCCTTTTATTTGTAAAAAAAAAAAAGAAATGTGAACGAGCCACAACAAGCGCCTCGTTTAGGTTAACATTCGCCAGTGCCCTTTATAAACACTTTACGGTGCATAATAGTTAGGATGGAGAGCAGGCTATTACTGGGCGCCTCTTGTGGATTCAGAGCCCCTCCCCTTCCCCACAAGCCGCTCTAAAAAGGTGGAACGAATCGATCCGCAGTCTCCTTTGTCCCACTAAAGAGGTCATCCCGAAATATCCGCGTTTAGGAGAAGTTTGGAGCAGAGCGCACCCGTTTGTGCCTCTCGATAAAGTGCGATAGAGTTGAACAGAAACACGGTTGAATCTCGCACTTTGAGAGGACGAGGCTCTCCTTCTTCCAGTCGTGGACAATATCCAGAGTTTGTGAACTTCTTGTCCAAAAAATTCACACTGGTGATTATTGGTTTATCTTATAGAAGAAAATACAAACGCGGTTTGGCGTTAGTTCTTATTAATTCACAATTAGTGCCATTGTTATGTGCGTGTGGTTGGTGGTGGTCAGAGGGGCTGATGGCACATACTGGTTGCCTTGCTTCTGTCAGTGTGCCCCAGGGCAGCTGTGCCTACAGTAATAGTTTATTACCACTGTGTATGGAGTGAAAGAATAATGACATTTGAAGCGTCTTTGAGTGTTCTGAAAAGCGCTGTATATAAAACCGATGCATTATTATTATTTATATTATTATTATTATTATTGTTATTATACATGGTGATGGAATGGCACGAATTCCTTGCACGAATCTGCAACTAAATGTGAAATACAGTATATGACTAAAGTTGAAGATTGACAGCTATTACGTTTTAAAACATATGTATAACGTCTTCAAAACTAAACCTATGCAGGATGTTATTAAAACTAAACCTACTGAACGCGTTATTAAAACCAAACATATGCCTAAATAGTGTGACAAATCCAGAGTAAATATTCACGCTGTTGGAGAGCGCGCACGGCAGCAGTTCGGGGGGTGCGTTCTCGTTCACAAACAGGCTGCATTAGTGATGGTGGCGGGGACAGGACGGGACAGCAGCGAATGAAAGCCCGGGATGAGGAGCAGATTGACAGGTGGGCTCTGACTGTCAGGGTGACGCTCGCGGAGGGGTGGAGTAAAGAGCTCGGGCTTGGAGAGGCAGCTGCATGTGTCTGTCGATCAGAGAGAGCTGTCTGAGCGGAGCGTGCGTCTTCAATGTGCACAACCCTCTGCGGTGGCCCCTCCAAATCAACCACACTCATCAGGACAGTGGAGCGGACTGTAAGGGGACTGTGAGGGACTGAGGGTGCTCTGAGGACAGTGCGCAGCGTCGGCTCTGTCCACAGCGGAGACGTGAGTATTTACGCTGATCTCTGTTTTTGAGTGATTGACGTCCACCTAAAAGCGACTCATACGTGTTTCTTTTCTGTCTTCACGCCTTTAGAAAGATCTCCATCTCCTCGGACAGAGACCACATGACGCCTCAGACTCCACACTGTTTAGTTTTCCGCTGAAAGGGGAATGAGAGAGAGTCCAGAACGCGCGGCGAAGCTCTTCTCTCTCGGCGCGGAGCTCGGTCGGCAGCAGCAGCCCGCATCTCTGCCCACTCTCCGGGGCTTTCCGTGTGTTTTCTGCCAGTCACCCAGCCACGAGTTACGGCAGAAGTTAACGAGCCACTTCCTGTGATAATAACACGTTTGTACGCTTACATAACGGGACATGATTCAGAACAAACACACGAACAGACGTGCGTAAAGTGTACACTTATCAGAACTTCTTCGCGGGATCTAATTTAGAGACTTTTCACTCCTTTTACGACGCTTGAAGAGTGGTCAGGACGACACGGATTTCATTTTGCCAAAAGTCCAGGTTTCCTTCTCTTTCCGTCCACTATTATCGTGGTCTTCGCATGAAAAGTCCAGCGGAACGTCCTGAAGCAGTATGCCGAGGAGAAAGCAGCAAGCGCCGCGGCGGTCCTCAGGTGAGCCCCACAGACTCCCACACTAGTCCATTATGTGGACAAGTTTACACTGCACATGGGTTATGGACCTGCTATACGACCTCACATTGTCTTTTTGGTTGCTTTGTAACTACTATAGCTTATCAATTGATTTAACAACGGTTTCTAAATGTTATGATAAGTCAGACAACACTTCTTTAGTACACTTGTGCTTCAGAAAAGAAGCACAAGTGTACTTTCTTTTAATCACTGTTTAGTCACTTTAGTCCTGAGTTCACATACAAATAGGTCACAATAGTGACACTGATGGACAATAGTCATTTCCTCTTATTAAACCAAAGTGGAGTTCTATAAGAGAATCTATAACTAAGTGCCCTTATCCACTACAGCATGTTTGACTGGCAGCAGTATTGTTTCATTTACACGGTCATGCCTCAATGCCAATTCTGCCTGAGAGGAATGAATGCTGCACTTCAGTTTCAGTGCTTTAAAGCCGATCCTCGTCTAGGTGCCAGCATCCAAGTTCTCCAAACAAAGCTCATCTTATCTCATTTCTACAGGCCAGCGTGTTTGATGTGTTTGTGTCAGTAAAAAAAACAGTTACATAAAGAAAGAAGTGCCGTATTTTGAGTCTGTGTTCCACTTTAGGATTGCCATCCCTGATTTGATGCTTGATTGATCGCCTGTCATGCAACTGCCTTTGATCTATTCATTCCTGATAAACATCAGTAAATCATTCAGCAGAGAGACACGCATGCGCCGGCAGCTGGACTCACTCAAAGGACATGTTTTTTTTTTTTTTTTTTATATGCCCCCCAGCCGAGAAGCAAAAGAAAAGACAAATTGAAAGGAAAAAAGTTCTCAAGCAGGGTAAATACTTTGCGATTAATGCCCAAAGGGGGAGGGCTCGGGGGAGCGGGGAGTGCTGGTGCGGAGCAAGATCACACAGAGGATCATCTATTAGGAACAGCCCACTAACACCACGGGCTGAAGCTCCAATGGTCACTGTGGGCTCTTGACCTGCCCTTTCAGAATCAGGAAGTGTTAGTAAATCCTCATTCATCCAAAAGCCAGTCTTTGTCGTCTCTCGCTATACAAGCAAGTCATTTAAAACAACCATATTGTTTATATTTGCTGGAACGACAGGAAGATTCATTTAGTTTCAAGTTTTCCTGTGCATTCTTTCTGAAGTTGCTTTTTATTTAGTTTACAGTGAGTCCAGCTTGACTACATCTTCTGACAAATGCTTTTTTCACAGTTTGGAATCCGGTTTCTTGTGCTGACCATACATGCCCTGTTTCTCAGCAGAATGGGAGAGTGCATGTTTTTGCCCGAATCTATTTGATGTCCATGGGAGATGTATGTGATTGACACACTTTTCCAAATGACTTGCCTTTGAAGTGTGCTGCGTAATGACCAAAGCCGCATAAAACAGCCACAGAATTCTAAGCAGTTGGTGGAAATGTGAGGTTAAGCAGACTTAATCAAGGTTGTGACGAAAAAGACTTTGAACTCGGTGGGGCTGTAATTTCTAATTGACGCGAGGCTTTAGTGACGGATCTGGAGAAATGTGTTTGAAGAAGCCAGAGAGCCGTATCACTGAAATGAATTGTGCCAGTTTAGAGTCTGGACACTGCACTACAAGGACAGAGCAAAAGTGGCCGCGTACCCACATCTACTAATCTAAAGTGCTTCCATTTTACTCTGTTGTAAATCCAAAAGGTGATGGTACTAAATGATAGATTCAATGCAATACTGCTTTACTATCCTTGCTCTATTGAATTGCCTTGCCTGTATGGCTGCACAATACTGGGAAAATGTCTGATAATGATGTCCAGGACTGGGTTGACGATAAGAATTGCGATATTTTCCATCCCCAAAAGACCTTAGTGTGTTGGAAGTGCTGTGTTTTTAGTTTGGAAGTTGTTGCTGCTCCCACTTTGGCACATCTCTTCTCCTCCATGTTGTGTTTTGTTCTTTCTAGTCGCTCAACCAAGACAGTCTTTCACTCCAGCAGCAAATGGCAAAGTCCGTGTATGAAAGAAACGCCTTAATCGTACACACAATTATTGCACCTCTACATTGCACTTGCCGTTATTGCGATACCAACAACGGCCAGTGCCATTTTTGTGCCTCAATGTTTTGATTTCTCGATGGCCAGGTTCATTGATCTTTGCATGTACTGCTTTCATTCTCCCTCCTCTTAGAAACTACTAACTAACTATATGGTTGCTACTATTGATACCTTTATTGTATATCAATTAGTGATGCCCCAGTGCTTACTAGTAGTATTAGTAATATTTCCTATTTTAAATGTATGCTAAATGAAAGCATAAACAATAAACCAGATACAAACTAAAAACTAAAGAAGATGCTAAGTAAACAGAAATAAATTGTTTGAGGCTGGACAAAGCAAAAGGATTATTTGGCTCCAACTCGTCTCACTCAGACACACACATACACACACACACACACACACACACACACACACACACAACAAGACACAGGCCCAAACACTCTCTGACCTCTCTCCCACTACTCGCTCTCGTCAAGGAGCTCAAACTTGCACAACATAACACATACTTCCACATAATTTCAGACACAAACACTTGTACGTCATTTGAAAGGGCCTTTTTCTTGTGTCTCTTTGATAATTGTGCTAAAATGGTTGGCTCAGAATTCCAGTTGCGTTACAAATACATCTTATGTGTGCAGCCCTAGATACAAAGAGACCAAACAGAAAAATATGTGTCTTTATTGGTTAGCCGGCCCAGCAGTGTGAAGTGGCCTCATTCTCGCTGTGCTTTTTGAATATTGATTTAATTGTCTGCTTGTGTGACAGACGCATACATCACATGCAGTAATGGTCAATCCAGGCTTGGCAGGCCCTGGCTCTATACTATTTCCACAGCGATTTGCTTCTGGTATCCAAAAGTTTAACACCTCCTCTGATAGCAATACCTGGGAAGTGCTGCTACCTATAAAGTAGTCACATTAGCACATATTTCCACCAGCCGGGATTCATCACCGAAAAATCAAAAAAGTGTTGCTTTCTCCAGAGAGTGAGGATTCTTTCAATGCTTCTTTGTATGCCAGTTGAAATAGGTTTTGTTTCATCAGTCACGTTGATGATTTTTAGACCCGGTAATGGCGCTGCTCCCTATCTCCTTTATGACCAGTGACAATACATCAGTGTGCTTCGGTTTGGAACGGCATTACTGCATCTGTTAGTTTTGGCAGTCGGGTTCAGTGCAGTGCAATTTGAGCAGCACCGACTTTTGCTGCAGTCATTTGTCGTCATTTTCCGTGTTTTTTTGTTCCCTTTGCTCTGACGGAGTTTGTGGCTTTGTGGCATTTTTCTACCTTTTGTAATTAATGTAAGGTAAACAATGCAGCGATATGATTTATTGCGGAAAATGTAAGACGAGAGAAGCGCCGAACCGTGTTGCGTTTGTAATTGTATCTTTTTGCTTCTCGCATTGAAGGGATAGAGAGAAAGTAAAGATCAAGTTGCCCAAATGTAATTCTTACCTTACAGCAATACCACGATGTTAATATAATGTTTTTACGCCGATAAAGCTGTACCATCTAGTCTTTAACATCACAACTGCTTTGCTTTTAATTAGCAATTTCCTTAAGTTCATACATGATCATTAGTCCACAGAATATTAATAGCGATTTCAGGCAAAGAATGCTAACGTTTGCAAGTGCAATACGTGCTGCCTAATTAATCTAGGCCAAACACTCAAAGCAACATAATTAACCACATCTGGGGAAGACACTACTTGTCTATTCATTCTTCCCATTCTCACTCACTTTGAAGCAGACTCCACCAGTTGGCCTGCGAAAGTGACACCCAATATGCAATATTTTAATACAAAGGTCACCTTTTTTTTTTTTTTTATGAATGGCAATGCAATAACTTAAACTTTCTCTGGCAGGGAACAAATCACACAGTGTGAGCAGGAGTAATGAATATATGTCAACCTATCAATCAGTCTGTCACAGAGTTGGCAAAGTTTTCCATTTACTGTAGAGAAGTTCATAGGGTGAAGTTAAAGAATAGTAAATGTACTGCTTTTGTGTAGACATAAAAGAAGGAAATGCACTGTTTGGTTTTATAAAGAACAGGGCAGATCATATTTCATGTATAAAATTTATTATTGTAGTATGCATATTCGATTAATGGCCAGATTACACTGTATACACAGATTCTATTCATTTTATTCAGAGCATTAGGCCTGCCACAATAACAAAGGGGCACTTTATTGACACCAAGATTATGTGTGATTTTGTGGCACTGGTGCAATTACAAAAGGCAGGAGAATCCCAGTGAACCAATATTTTAGTTTTTAAAGTCTTTCGTTTTAAAAGGTACAATAAGAATCAAATAAACAGCAGAATCATAAACCATGTTTTGGCTCAAATTGTGTCACAATAGCAAACATCTTCTCACTTTTGCAACGGAAATCTACAAACTATATTGTTCCCTCCATTTGATATAGATAAATTGATTTAGCATTTATGGTGACAAGCCAAGGAGGCAATAATAATCTGCATTCTTTGTGTTTTGGTTTGTTACCTCACAAAAAGCTGCTAAAATGGACTTACAGTAGAAAACGGCTATAGAAGCAAGTGAAGAATAGTTGTAATGGCAGCTCGTCTACACAACGATATGAAACCAATAGGTGTTCTTCCTCTTCAAACTTTTCAGTTCCGTGTCCGTCTTGTGCCTGGGTACACGACATCTTTGATCCTCTCATTCTCGTCCTTTAGCTTCGGTCACGAGGAGGAGAGGGGGACGTACTTGTGAGGCTGTCAAACCTGATGCTTTCCTTCAAGCCTCAGCGCAGTAATTAGTTTCCCTTTGTCTCTGGAAATGTCTGAATATCCTCAACAGTCTCCATACGTTGCCATTGCTAATTAAAAAGTTAAACAATGTAAACAGAACTTGTAATGCAAGATGTTATACGGCTTGAAAATGGGTCTTGATGGGTTTATTCGCTTAAGTCGCTTGGTAA